GCAGGGCCGGGCCGGGGCGAGCCGAGGTGAGCAGGGCCGGGGTGGGCAGGGGCGCGCGGGGCCGGGGCGGGAAGGGCCAGGGCGGGCAGGGGCGCGAGGGGCCGGGGCGGGCAGGGGCGCGCGGGGCCGGGTGAGCGGGGCCGGGGCGGGCAAGGGCGCGCGGGGCCGGGGCGCGCGGGGCCGAGGTGAGCAGGGCCGGGGAGGGCAGGCGCGCGGGGCCGGGGCGCGCGGGGCCGGGGCGGGCCGGGGCGCGCGGGGCCGGGTGAGCAGGGCCGGGGTGGGCAGGCGCGCGGGGCCGGGGAGGGCCGGGGCGCGCGGGGCCGAGGTGAGTAGGGCCGGGGTGGGCAGGCGCGCGGGGCCGGGTGAGCAGGGCCGGGGCGCGCGGGGCCGGGGCGGGCAGGGGCGCGCGGGGCCGAGTGTGCGGGGCCGGGGCGGGCAGGGGCGCGCGGGGCCGGGTGAGCAGGGCCGGGGCGGGCAAGGGCGCGCGGGGCCGGAGCAGGGCCGGGGCCGGGCGTGCAGGGCCGGGGAGGGCAGGCGCGCGGGGCCGGGGCGGGCCGGGGCGCGCGGGGCCGAGGTGAGCAGGCGCGCGGGGCCGAGGTGAGCAGGCGCGCGGGGCCGGGTGAGCAGGGCCGGGGCGGGCAGGGGAGTGCGGCGCCGCGGCGGCGGGCGGTGCTGCGGGAGCGGCGCGCTGCGGGCCCGGGCGCCAGGCCGCCGTGACGTCACGGCCCCGCCTGCGGGTGATGCTGCAGCGGCCGCGGCTGGCCGGGGGCGCGGGGCCCGCAGCGAGCGGCTCCGGGGGCAGGCGGGAGCCCAGCGCGGCGAGGGGATGCCTGCCGTCTGCACGCACAGGTACCGTTCCCGGCCGCGCGCGCCGCCGGCTCCCGCGTCGCGGCCCGAGCCTCGGACTCCAGGTTGGCACGGAGACCTTTTGTTCTTCCGGTCCGATTCCTCGGAGCACGGACGGGGGACCCTGCCCCGGGCCCTGTATGCGGACGCCCAACCCCAACCTCGCGAGGCCCGGTGCTGGGCAGCGGCCGGGGACAGGTGGATTTCGCCCTGGCCCTGGAGTTTGTCCCCCGCGCTGTCTTGTGATATGTTTATGGAGCCCGAGGCCTGCTCCCAGGTCACCTGGCCAGGTGTCATCAGCTTCCGGTCCACCTCCCGCCGCGGCTGAACCCCTGGAGGATGAGGGCTGCCACCGCCCTGAGCTGCCCGGGAGGGACTGGGGGGGGGGGGTCTGTGCTGTGCTGAGTACCCCCGCGGGAGGCAGGCTGTGTCCCCTCTGCCCCGGACAGGAAATAACTTTGGAGATGACTCAGTGCTAGCATGGCACCGCGGAGGCCCAGGCCCAGGGTGGGCACTGGAGACCGCTGACCGCACTGGCCGCAGGGCGCTGGGGTGCTCCGGAAAGACGGCCCTCCTGGAGTATGAACCCCGGGGATGGAGGGAGGAAGACTGGGGAGGTAGTTTGCACATAGAGCCCTTAGTGTCATCCCAGCTTACTTTCAACCAGGGTACCGATGTCCTGTAACGCCTGGCGCCCTCAAGTCTGTGTGTTTTTAAATGTCTTCCAGGCGGAGGGGGCGGGACAGACTTTGAGCTCAACAGAGAGGGCCTGCTTGGGATGCCCTGGTGCCACCTGAGGCCGTGGGCTCCAGACCCTGCGCTATGTGCCCGCGCGGCAGCTGGTTCTGCCCAGCCACGTGGTAGAGACCTGGACTGAGTTCCTGGCTTTAGGCTGGCTCTGCCTTGGCTGTGGTGGGCACTTGGGGAGGTGCGCGCACACACACACACACACACACACCCCTCACATCCTCTGTTTTCTGGAAGTTTGGTGGAGCTGGATAGATAATCTTCAGGGATCCCAGGACACCTTTAAAGGGTCCCAAGCGCCAGTCACGTGGTGTGAAAAGGTTTCATACGGACTGGCCTGAGTGGGACAGGATTCCATGTCAGGAGCAGGTGTGGTTAAGGGCCCTGTGTCGCTTGCAGAAGCTGCCTGGATTCAACACCTGCCACTCCCTCCCAGCTCCATCTTCCGCTAGGGCGGGCTGGGGATGGGGCAAGGGTGATGGCTCAAGTATGGGGTTCTTTCCACCACCTAGGGGGGTACCTGGTTCAAGGCCCAAGCCAGCCTGAGCCCTCACAGGGGAGTGAACCTGCAGGCGGGTTCTTCTTTCTCCTTCTGCCTCTCCGATAAAAACACTTTAAATATCTATTATTTTATTATTAAGGAGTTATTTCTTTTTATTTGAAAGGAAATTTTGTAAATTTATAGAGAGAAGGAGAGACACAAAGTCCATCTGCTGGTTCACTCCTCAAATGGCCACAGAACTGAGCTGAGCTGAAGCAGTGTGAAAGCAGGCCGTCCTCCACTGCCCTTCCATGTGCGCCAGCAGGAGCTGGATGGAAGCGGAGCATCTGGGACTCGAACCTGTGCCCCTATGGGACACCAGTGCTAGGAGACAGAGAATTAGCTTGCTGCACCACCGTTATAGTCCCTCTCCAATAAAAATTTGTGTGAGATTCTGACAATTCCCTTTTGATATTTTAGATTTCCTCTTTCATTCAATTTCTTACTAACACTTAAAAGATCTAAGAAACTTGTGAACAGGTTTGGATTTAACTTTGAAAGGCAGAGAGAGAGACAGAGCTCTTCCATCCATTGGTTTACTCTTCAGATGTGCACAAGAGGCGGGCCAGGTCCAAGTGAGACGCTCAGAGCTCAGCCAGGTGTCCCGTGCCACCCAGGATACAGCAGCTGGGTGCTGGAATTGGAGGGGTCTGGGGCTCGAACCCAGAGACTACTGTGGAATGCATCGGCCCGAGAAGCGTCTTAATAACTCTATTTCTAAATAGAAATGGTACCCGCAATCCCTAAAGTTGGGTGCACCCTGGTGGCGACTTTTTGTCAAGGCTGGGAATGATTCTGGTTGCGGTGCTGGAGGCTGGTGGGCAGCCTGGGCTGTTTGCCCAGCTGCAGGGGGCGGGGGGGGAGGGTCGGCCCAGGTGGGCCAGCTCCATGCATGCCGTCCATCTTCAATGAGAGCAGCAAGCTCCTCTTTGGGAAGATGCATTCCCGCGTAGGCTGTCCGAAGCCGAGGCCTTCCTCCAGCAAGCTCGTGGGAAGGTGCGTGCATCCGCGTTCTCGTCGGCGGGTGAAATGCACGGAAAGCCCAGTGCCGGGGGGGGGGGGAGGCTGAGGGCAGAGATGCTGGGCAGAGCAGGGAGCCCGCCTCAGCACACACGCCCCATGCCTGAGCGCCGGCTGGGTGACTCCCTAGGGTGCCCACAGCTCACCCCTCCAGGTCTCTGGAAGATGAGCTGCTCTGAGGAGCCCTCAACATTGTGGGGGGGAGCACCTCAGAAGTGAGATGAGTGCCGGGTGTCAGATCTGAATGTCCTTGTCGCAGAGGACAGCATCGCGTTTCCATCAGGTCACAATCTGTAGCAAGGACGGTGGTTGGAGTACCGGTCATGCCCCAACACGTGGGTACAAGCTCCATCCCTTAGCCAGGCGCCCGTCCCGCCAGCATCAGCAGCCACCTTCCTGCGGGCCTCCCCTCTCACCGCACATGCCCACCCTGCCCAGCAGCCGCTCCTGGGTCTCTCCCACCTGCGGGACCAGGACCTCGGCATCTTGATCCCTGGTACCCCCTGAGGAGGGTAGGGAAGGGTGGGTGTTTGGAGGGGTGGGCTGTGGGTGTGAGTAATACGTGAGTGGCAGGGAGGACAGTGGGTGGATGGATAGGCAGCAGGTGGGTTAGTGTGTGGGTGACTGGGCCACTGGTCTAACCATCCAGGTTCAGATCCTGCTGGCGTGTCCAGAGCCAATTACACCCACCATCGGTGTCTTCTGGAGTGCAGGACAAGTCCCTGGTGGGTGGGGCGGTGGAGGAGTTGGGGGAACACATTCTGATTTCTGAGGCAGCTGCCCCAAGTTCACGCCAGAACCCAGGGGCCTCCCTGGGGCAGTGGGAAGCCCTGAGGAGCATCGCCTTCAGCGTGTCTGTCTTTGCTGGGAAAGCAGTCCTGGCTTGGGGACCGCCTCCTGGGAGGGCCTTGAGGGGGACATGGTGAGGCTGGGGGGAGCGGGGGACGTGGTGAGGCTATCAGAACCCACCCGGAATCTTGCAGCTCACCTGGTGTGGGTGTCCCTCACTCCGTGTGGGCTCACACACGGGCATGCATACACACACACGTGCACACAGGGACACATGCCAGCACCCTCAGTCCACCCTCGGTGCTCCCGTGGGGGCAGAGTGCAGAGAGAAACGGCTGGGCGCGTGGGAGCAGGCCTGCGGCCGAGCCAGGACAGGGGGAAAGGAGGCAGCGGGTTGCGGCGAAGGCCTTTTCCTTGCTTGCACTCAGCCACGGGCTTTGTGAAAACTATCAAAAACAAAGTTGAAAAAAGCTTGCTTCTCAGCCTCACTGGCAGTGCCTGCCACACTGCCAGTTTTGGCTCACCCCGGGCACCCTCCCTGCTGATGCTGGGGTTCTGGCAGTCAGCTGCCGGGGAGCAGGGCCTTCTCCCAGAGACCTGCTGCCCTGCGCCGAACCCCCAGGAGCATGGCGGAGTGAAAGGGCCGGGCTAGGCCCCTCCATCCTTTAAGAATGGGCTGTCCCTTGCTGTGTCCGAGCGCTCGGGTGTCCATGAGTGTCCCTGTCCGTGCCTGTCCAGATCCCCCCGGAAGCTTCAGGTGGAGGCAAAATGAGCCTTGGACGTGGGTCCCAGGCTGAGGGGTGGCTCCCAGGCTCCTGTACGGAGCCTATGTTTGGGGTGCCGTCCCTGTGGGCTCCACGGGGTATCCTGCTGCCCAAGCAGGGAGTGCCCGTGAGTGGGCAAGCTGTGCTGCTGGGCCATCTCGGGGTACAGCTCTTCCTCGGGGAGGGGTCACTGAAGCCAGAAGGGTGCCCCACTGTGGATGCAGCATGAAGGGGGGGCTTTCTCTGGGATAGTGACCGTTGCTCCCCGGCTTCCCTCACAGGCCGGCCCCACGATGACCGCCCCGGTGGTGAGTGGCACCCCTCCGGGAGACCCCCTCTTCCCCAGCGTGGCCCCTCAGGACTCCTGGAGGTCGCAGGTCTCGGGCTCTGTGGGCTCCGTGACCCGGCACCTCAGCCACAGAGCCAACAACTTCAAGCGCCACCCCAAGAGGAGGAAGTACATCGGGCCCTCACCGCCCCCGCCCCCCAACACCCCCTGTCCGATCGAGCTGGTGGACTTCGGGGAGCTGCACCCCCAGAGGTCCCTGCGTGAGCTGCTCTTCAACGGCTGCATCCTGTTTGGCATCGAGTTCAGCTACGCCATGGAGACGGCGTACGTGACCCCCGTTCTCCTGCAGATGGGCCTGCCTGACCAGCTCTACAGCCTGGTGTGGTTTATCAGCCCCATCCTCGGTGAGTCCCAGTGCTGGGTGGCCTCTGGAAACCTCCAGAAGCATCTAGAAGCTTCAGTGGATGCAGCTTGAGGGTTCTGGGGGCCGGACTGGGAGGAGCAAGACAACTGGGACAAGCTGGAGTGGCCGACCCTGCCCAGGCAGCCGAGTGGGTCCATGGCTGCAGCTGCCCGCACCACATGCCTGTCCTGGATCAGGAGCGAGGCGTGGGGGGCTGCGGGCCCACTGCAAGGCTGGCCTCGCTGACCTTTGCCTCTCTCTCCCTTCCAGGATTCCTGCTGCAGCCGCTGCTGGGTGCTTGGAGTGACCGGTGTGCCTCCAGGTTTGGAAGGAGACGCCCTTTCATACTTGTCCTGGCTATAGGTCTGTTGTTTCAACATGGAAATAAAACAGAAAAACAAACAAGCAAAAAAACCAAGCTTCTCACTAGGGAAAGCTGAGCATGTAGCCCCAGCCCTCCAGGAGTTCCCCCGACCACCCAAGCTGGCAGCTGTGAGAGTTGAGCGAGAAAGTTTACCTGACTCCTCCTAGAAATCCCAGGGGCACGTACCGTCGGCTGGCCCATTGGGGGGCTCATCCCGGGGCCTCCGGGCTGACCTGAGTGAGGATGGCTGGGGGCAGAGCTGCTCCCGCCTTACCCTCATGACCATGACCCTCTCTGCTTCCAGGGGCGCTGCTGGGCCTCTCGCTCTTGCTGAATGGAAGGGACATCGGCGCGGCCCTGGCCGACACGGCCACCAGCCACAAGTGGGGCATCCTCCTGACGGTGTGTGGAGTGGTGCTGATGGACTTCAGTGCCGACTCGGCTGACAACCCCAGCCATGCCTACATGATGGACGTGTGCGGCCCAGTGGACCAGGACCGGGGCCTGAACATACACGCCCTCTTGGCAGGTGAGCGTCCTTTCAGCTGTGGCTCCAAGTGCTGGGGAAGGGTGGGGTCAGCGTGTGGCCAAAGCACATGCTGGAATGCCTGCCCAAGGCCAGGGTTACATTCCCAGCCTCGGCTCTTGGTTCTGACTTACTGCTTCTGAAGAGCCTGGGCGGCAGCAGGTGATGGCTCAAGAAGCTTTGTCCTTGCCCCCCTAGGAGCCCTGGGTCCCTGTCCCCTCCAGGAGCCCTGGGTCCCTACCCCCCAGGAGCCCTGGGTCCCTGCCCCCCTCCAAGAGCCCTGGGTCCCTGTCCCCTCCAGGAGCCCTGGGTCCCTGCCCCCGTCCGGGAGCCCTGGGTCCCTGTCCCCTCCAGGAGCCCTGGGTCCCTGTCCCCTCCAGGAGCCCTGGGTCCCTGCCTCCATCCTGGGAGCCCTGGGTCCCTGCCCCCGTCCTGGAGCCCTGGGTCCCTGCCCCCCAGGAGCCCTGGGTCCCTGCCTCCATCCTGGGAGCCCTGGGTCCCTGCCCCCGTCCTGGAGCCCTGGGTCCCTGCCCCCCAGGAGCCCTGGGTCCCTGCCTCCATCCTGGGAGCCCTGGGTCCCTGTCCCCCCTCACATAAGCAATTTTAAAAATATGCGAAGTTCATGGATAATGGAATTTTATAAGTTTATTTTGTTACAGAAAAGTCTTTAAACCTTTGTGTAGCTATTTCATAATATGAATTTTCTGTGAATTTGGGGATCCCTTGTATGCATGATTTTCTTTGCACCAAAATTAACTTATCTTTCATTTCCATTTTCTGGAACCTGTGCAAGTACCCTCACACCATTGCTGCATACTCATGTGTGTGTTTGCGGAAAGCTATAGTGTTCCTGACATGGCTGTGTATACAGCCGGCTGCGGGGCCCCTGCCGTCTGTGTGTGGGTGTATACAGCTGGCTGCAGTGTTCCTGATGTGTGTATGCAGCCGGCCGTGGGGCCCCTGACATCCCAGGACCCCTGCAGCTGCCACCTGCATCCCCCGTTGGATTTTATCTGAGTGGACCAGGATGAGCCACTCCACTGTGGGAAGCAGTTTGAGTCCTCCCACTTTCTTCCAGCTGCAGAGGAGCCTGCCCTCAGCTGGCGGCTGATCTGGGGGTGTCCCTGTTTGGGGGCTCCGCTCTGAACTGCCAGCCCTGGGAGAGGTCACACCTGCAGGCTTAGTTCAGCCATGTGCGTGTGTCTCGTGGGTGAACCATGAACGCTCTTTCGTCCCTGTCTGGCCAGCTCTGTGTGCTTTCTAAACCAGAGCTCCCGCTCTGCCCGCCCCCTGCCTCTGTCCCCGAGATGTGAGCCTTTCCCGTCTGCCCTGGCGCGGCACAGCAGGTGGCCTGGCGGCTGGGGAAGACCCTATCCTGGGAACCTCAGACTCCTTACTACCAGGGTTTCAGTGGGGCAGGCGTCATGTGTGGGATCTTGGGGTGGGGTTTCCCACCCCAGGGGGCTGCTCCTTGCCTGCCAGAAGCAGGGCCCCGCTTGCCCTGTTTCTCTCCCCAGGTCTCGGAGGAGGTTTTGGCTATGTGGTCGGGGGCGTCCACTGGGACAAGACCCGCTTCGGGAGGGCCCTGGGCGGCCAGCTCCGCGTCATCTACATCTTTACCGCCATCACCCTGAGCGTCTCCACCGTCCTGACGCTGGTCAGCATCCCGGAACGTCCCCTGCGGCCGCCGGGCGAGAGGAGGGCGGCCATGAAGAGTCCCAGCCTGCCTCTGCCACCGTCCCCGCCCGTGCCACCCGAGCAAGGCTCCAGCGAGCCCCTTCCCTCGCACCCGGCCACCAGCTTCTACGCCAGCTTCTCCAGCCCCATCTCGCCCCTGAGCCCCCTCACGCCCAAGTACGGCAGCTTCCTCAGCAGGGACAGCTCCCTGACGGGCATCAACGAGTTCGCCTCATCCTTCGGCACCTCCAACATAGACAGCGTCCTCATTGACTGCTTCACGGCCGGCCAGGACGAATACTTGGCCCTGCCCGGCAGCGTGCCGCGGCAGCCCGTCAGCGTCAGCTTCCCCCAGGCCCCTGACAGCTTCTACTGCCAGGACCGGGGCCTCCTGGCCCGGAGAGAGGGCAGCGCCCTGACCTCGGATGGAGACGTGCTAAGGGTGGGCTCGCTGGATGCCCCCAAGCCACGGGCGTCTGGGATCCTCAAGAGACCCCAGAGCCTGGCTCTCCCAGACACGGCTGGAGGAAGTGGGCCAGAAACCAGCCGGAGGAGGAATGTCACCTTCAGCCAACAGGTGAGCAAAGAGGTTAAGGGTCAGAGAGCAGCAAGTGCTGCCCCCTGCTGGTGAGGTGGTCCGTGTGGGCAGCGAGTTCCCGCAGCCATCTGCAGCGCCCAGAGGTGGGCCCTGTGTGCACTGGGCTGCTCTGTTAGCCCTGAGTCATGGTGGGCACCTGCCTGTGATGTCCCTCCTGGCTCCTGACCCGCTTGCCCGAGGGGACTTGGGTCAGGCTGTTGCCCGCAGAACTTGTGTGCGACGCACTTGTTGGGAGTGTTTTTCCAGCATTGGTCAGCCCAGAGCCCAAGCTGGTGGCCATGTGACTGTGGCGCCCACACCCTTAAGTCTCCCTAAACTACACCCCCCGCCCTCACCGCCCACGGCACTGGGCACCCCACTGCTGTGTCAGCCACCTCCTGGAGGCTGAGAAGAGCCTGGGTTCTCAGCCAGTGGCGTCTTCTGGAAGGCTTTCAGAGTACATTGGCGTGGCGGATCCTTCGAGTGACAAGAGGGGGACGCCACTGTTGTGCTCAGGGTGGTCCAGCCAGTTCAGGGCAGGTGTTCTTGGGACCTGTCTAGCCCGTGTGGGTCTCGAGGAGGCAGTCCCAGGTGCACGCCGTCTGTGCCCAGGCTGCGTGGTAGCACAAGTGGGATCTGCAGTCTGGGCTGGGGCTCAGCCAGGGGCCACCAGGCTCCCCACCGCGTCTGAAGGAGTGCCGTGTCACCACGGTGTCAGGGAGCCCCTGCTGCAACAGTGTGACATTGTCCAGTGGCTCCCATCAGGGTGGGCAGCAGCAGCTTCACTTTGCATGACCCGGGTCTTGTGTCCAGCTCATTGCCAGGCCTGGGCCACTGTGCCCTGTCTCCAGGACTCAGGCAGAGCCGGTTCTCACGGTGTGTGCTTGAACTCTCACTCCCAACCTCCTCTAACTCCGCTTTCCCGCCAGGAACCGCCAGGGACTGCCAGCACCAGGGACTGACTGCCCCTGGGGAGCCAGGGCTGCATCTCGGCGAGCATCAGGCCCCAGGAGATCCCAAGCAGGCTGGGCTACTGTGGGAGGACCCCCAGAAGGCAATCCCTCCGCCCCTTCCAACCTGACGAGGAGGCGTGGCGGGAAGGGGCGCCCTGCCTTCCGGGTGTCAGGAGGGTCTGCCTGTCCGGAGAGGGTGTCTCCGTTTCTCCATCCCCTCTCCGTGGAAAGAAGGGGCCCCGTGGGGTACGGGTCTGAGCTGACCCATGTTTCTCTAAATCAGATTCACTCCTCCCGCAGGTGACCAAGCGCTGCCTTCCTCCCCAGCGGGCCTCGCCTGTGCCCCACGCTCAGTCACACGTGGGCAGTGCCCACTCCAGCTCGGCCACGTGTTTCTGAATGGTGCGCCCGTGGGGTTCCCTTGCAGGTGGCCAACATCCTACTCAACGGCGTGAAGTATGAGAGCGAGCTGACGGGCTCCGCCGAGCAGGCCGAGCCGCCTCTGTCAGCCAGGCACCTCTGCTCCACCATCTGCCACATGCCCCGGGCGCTGCGTAGCCTCTGCGTCAACCACTTCCTGGGTGAGCTCTCGAACCACGTGTGGCAGTGCCCTGCATGGCCCTCCACAGGGGTCCTTTGCTGCTGAGCGGTTGACTACCTGACTTTTCAAAATGAATCTTTGGACCAAAAATAAGCATTTGAGGTGATTGGGGCTCTTGCGTCAGCATCACCTTCCAAAAGGCCGTTTGGCACTGGGAGAGGATGTCACATGTGAATGAGGCGTTTGTCCCCATGGTGTCACTGATTCCATGCCAGCCCCAGGCGTCTGAGGGCGGGTTCCATCACAAGCCTGGCTTCCCAGTCCTGGCTGCTCCAGCTTCCTGCCAGGCACACCTGCCCTGAGAAGCAGCAGGTAGCTCCGCTGTGTGTCAGGGTGCCACACTTGCACGGGAGACCCTGATGGAGATCCAGGCTCCTGACTTCCGCCTGGCTCAGCAGCTGCAGAGCCACAACAGCATCCCGTCACTCGTGGATAGAAATCTGTTTATTTACAGCAAAGACTGCATGAGAACCTACATGGTTTTGCCTGAGTTCCTTCTCAGCACTAGGTACTTTTTATTGCTTATTTGAAAGGCAAAGTCAGAGAGAGAGTCTTTCATTTGCTTGTTCACTCCCCAAATGGCCGGGATGGCCACCCTGGTCCTGGTCCAGGTGGAAGCCAGGAGCCAGGAGCCCCTCCAGGTCTCCCACATGGGTGCAGGAAGCTGCATGGGAATGGAGCAGCCAGGACTTGAGTCTTGGCTGCAACCCCCGTGCCATGACGCCAGCCCCTCTGGGTATGCTTTAACCCCTGAATCTGTGCAAGCCGTGTGTGACCGTGGTGGTCGGTGAACTCTGTGGCCTGGGCGCCCTGGGCTCAGCGCCTCCTCCCCCCACAGGCTGGCTGTCGTTCGAGGGGATGCTGCTCTTTTACACCGACTTCATGGGGGAGGTGGTGTTCCAGGGGGACCCCAAGGCCCCACACACATCCGAAGCCTACGAGAAGTACAGCAGTGGCGTCACCATGGGCTGCTGGGGACTGTGCATCTATGCCTTCAGCGCCGCCTTCTACTCAGGTACTCAGCAATGGCGGCCTCCGGGCTGTGTGGATGTGCGGGCCCCGGTGAGCGGTGGGCGACGCTGCAGTCCAGTCCCTCCCGGGCTGTGTGGGCGTGCCCAGGCAGAGTCCCGTGGGGAGCGCATGCGTTTCTGGACCACTCCTAGGGCAGTCAGCCTTGCCCACATCCATCCCACATGGCTCAGTGGATTGGCTGGCCCACAGGACAGAACAGGAGATATGGAGCATATTCACAGGGCCTCAGGGTGCACAGAGGACCCAGGGACCCAGGAATCAATGCTGTGATCCCAGAGGGGCCCCAGGGTGGCCATCCCCTGTAGCCTGGCTAGCAGTGGACACAGGGTCTGCCCATTCCTACTATAAAGACCAGAGGACAGATCTCACTGGCAGTGCCCGCTTCCCCCATGGCCGGGCCCTTGTGGCTCAGGAACGGCAGCCAAGGAGCAGCCTGGCGCCAGCCTCCTTCACTCTCCTTGAGGTGGGTGACGCAGAGTTCTCACAGGTTACCAGACACTCCCCTTGGTGTTTAAAATCGCTTAAGAACAAATGCGTCTTGGGAGCAGGAGCCATGACAGACTGCTGCTGGGAGTGGAGGGGCAGGGGGCTGGACCCCATACCCAGACTTTGCCAGAGCTCAGCTGACAGCCAAGCGCAGCATCAGTGTGTTTGGTCCTGCACAGCAGGGGTAGCATCAGCTCATGGGGAAAGGACCCCATTTCAATTAAGCCACTCTGGCAGATGGGCATAAGGGTGGGAGCAGCCATGTGGTGGGCGGTTGGTATCCCCAGGGTGGAGGCGGACAGAGGGGACAGCGAGGACGTGAGCACAGCATCTCCTGGGCCACCCTGGGGACTTGGCTGGGACTGGCTGCCCTGCCCAGCCCTGGAGGTGGCAGGGGGCTGAGCTCAGCCGCGTGGGCCCACAGCCATCCTGGAGAAGCTGGAGGAGCTCCTGAGCGTGCGCACCCTCTACTTCATCGCCTATCTCGCTTTCGGCCTGGGCACGGGGCTGGCCACGCTCTCCAGGAACCTCTATGTGGTCCTGTCGCTGTGTGTGACCTATGGTGTCCTGTTCTCCACGCTGTGCACCCTGCCCTACTCGCTGCTCTGCGACTACTACCAGAACAAGAAGGTGAGTGTGTGTGCTGGGAGACGCCACCCCTCTCCTGGACCCAGTCTTGGGCCCCCTGCTGCTTCCCTGGCAGAAACCCGTCCCCCGCATGAAATGACTAGGGTGGGGAGGTGAGTGAGAGTAACGTGGCATTCCAACCTGGGGGCAACGGGAAACCCCGGGATGGACAGAGTCTAGGCATCCGTGCTAAGCACAGGCAGGGTTCAGCCAGGCCAGGAGAGTCAGGTCTGAGGCCACAACCTGGGATGCGAGCCCGCTTTGTAAATGCTTTTGGGATTTTGTTCAGCCTGGATTCGACTCCAAGAGCCCCACAAAGTCTCATGAGCTGGTGTGCTGAGCCTGGGCACACATGTGTGCAGCCATCTTGGCATGCCCTCTCACCTCCCCTGCCTGGGCCCCAGGACTCTGCCTGTGGTCCCCAGGGAGGTACCTGTTGTTGCACGTGGCTTCTGCCCCCGTGGTATGCCTGTGTGGTCATCCACCCTCACTGCCCCTTACTTGGAAGTGCTCCCCTAACCATGGACCCATTAACCATGGACCCCACACAGCCCTGGCCTAGCCCCGTTTGTTGTGGGGTCTGGAATGTGACTGGCCTAGCCAGGGCCAGCTTTGAGCACTTCCTCTTTTCACGTTTTTTAAAGTTTTATTTTATTTTTTTATTGGAAATATGCAGAGAGGAGAGACAGAGAGAGGTGTTGTGTCTGCTGGTTCATTCCCCAAGTGGCTGCAATGGCCAGAGCTGAGCCAATCCAAAGTCAGGAACCACGAACTTCTCCTGGGTCTCCACACTGGTACAGGATCCCAAGGTTTTTGGGCCAACCTCCACTGCGTTCCCAGGCCACAAGCAGGGAGCTGGATGGGAAGTGGAGCAGCTGGGATATGAACCAACCACCAAATGCGATCCTGGCGCATGCATGGTGTGGATTTATCCATTAGGCCATTGTGCCAGGCCCTCTTTTCATATTTAAAAAATGTTTTACTTGAGTGGAAGAAAGCCACAGCCAGAGAGCTCCATCTCCTGGCTCACTGCGCAGGTGCTGTAGCTCTGGCTCACTGCACAGGTGCCCCCTAGCTCTGGCTCGCTGCGCAGGTGCCCGCAGTAGCTGGGCTAGTCTGTAGCTAAGGAGTTCCCCAAGGGTGGCAGGAGCCAGGTCACTTGAGCTCTCTCCTGCTGTCTCCCAGGGTTTGTGTCAGCAGGAAGCTGGCACTCTGACGTAGGCCCCACCCCAGGGACAATTCATAAGAAAAGCCCAGCAATGGGTGTGGCTGTCACAGCTGTCCAGACTCCGTTGTGGTCACCAAGATGGCACGGGCCACAAGGGCTGAGCCATGGTGGCTGTTATCCCATGGTCAGTTCTCTGGAGCCCCAGTACCCCTGCCCTGGATGACGCAGGGGCCAGCCTAGGTCCCAAGACTGTGCTGTCCCTGAGGGGACTGTGCTGTGTGTTTGGGAACAACCGTATCGCCCAGAGCCCGCCCCCTGCAGGGCCTCAGGGATGGCAGCCCACCCTGGCAGCTAAGGGGCCTGTGCAGGGGCTCAGAGGGACAGAGCCAGGCCAGCCTCCTCCCTTCCCTGCTGTCCTCCCCCAAAGCTCGCTCTGCATGTTGCAGGGAGCAGACCTCAGGACTGGAGGGGCGCAAGCCTAGGAGAGGGAGTGGGGCACCGGGGTGGAGGATGGCGGGGGGAACTTGCGTGAGGGAGGCAGCGCCTGGGCAAATGGCACATCCTGGGGTGGCGGCAAAGGCGGGTCCTGGCTTGTGTGAGCACCACGGCCGAGCTGACGCGGTGCCTCTGGGTCAGTTTGCAGGGTCCAGCGCGGATGGTACCCGGCGGGGCATGGGCATGGACATCTCCCTGCTCAGCTGCCAGTACTTCCTGGCCCAGATTCTAGTCTCCTTGGTCCTGGGGCCCCTGACCTCGGCCGTGGGCAGTGCCAGCGGGGTCATGTACTTCTCCAGCCTCGTCTCTTTCCTGGGCTGCCTGTACTCTTCCCTGTGTGTCATCTACGAAATCCCACCCGGCGACGCAGCCGATGACGAGCGCCGGCCCCTCCTGCCTGACGCCTGATGTCTACAATAAACCTTGCCAGCAGCCGGGCTTGCGGCTCCCTGGGGTGGGCGGGCACGGGCACTGAGTGGAGGACTGGCTCCAGAGTCCTTCCTCACCCTGCGGGATCGCCATGTCTGGGGCTGCCGAGCACATCTCTCGAGGCATGAAGATACCCAGTGGTGCTGGGTGCTGGGCAGCATATGTGCGGGGTTCAGCTGAGCCGTCCTGCCTCCCACAGCCTTGGTCCGGTGGTCTCCTGGTCACACGCACCCACATTCGTTCATCCATCCACACACTGGTTCTCACCCCCCCAGCCCTGTAGACATGCAGGTGCCGTGGGCATGTGGTGGGTGCTAGAGGGTCCCTGCCCTTGTGGGGCCAACACATGAAAGAGGATGCGCTGGGGCCTTTGCAGGGCAAGCCTGGGCTGCCTCTTGGCAGGAGCAGCCTTTCTGCTTTGTATATGTTTAGATTTTTCTAATCCTTTTGTAAAGCTGGAAGGTGGGAGGAGAGTTTCCATGTGTGGAAGCCGGGAGCCAAAAGCTTCTTTGAGTCTCCCATGTGGGTGCAGGGGCTCAGGCACTTGGGTGCTGTCCACTACCTCCCAGGTGTATTAGGGAGCTGGATCGGAACAGAAAGAGCTGGGTTCAAATCAGTGCTTCCATCTAGGATACCAGCAGAGCCCAGGAGCAGCCTGAGAACGTGCAAGCTGGGCATAGCTCCTTGCCTTGCCTGCCCCGGGATCCCTTATGGACACTGGTTCATATCCCAGCTGCTCCACTTTCCCTCCAGCTCCCTGCTTGTGGCCTAGGAAAGCAGCAGAGCAGTCCAAAGCCTTGGGACCCTAAACCTATGCAGGAGACCCAGAAGAGCCTCCTGGCTCCCGGCACATGGGACTTAGCAGGCCCAGAAAGCCTGGGGCACACCACTGCTGGCCCTGTGGCTCTCTCTGCCCATCCATCTTGTGGTGGCCATGAAGCCCCCATGTGTTTACCGACCAGGCCACCACTGTACCCAGCACAGTGTGACGGGCCCAGTGTAGCTTCCAGGGTCCTCTGCCTGCCTCTGGGGAGTCAGGAGCTCATGGCTGTGTCACAGCCATCATTTCTCCCTTTAAAAAAATTGTTTTTACATACACACACAGAGAGAAGACAGTGACAGGAAGAGAGTGCTGCCATCTGCTGGTTCCCTCCTCAAATAGCCACAGGAGCAGGGCCAGGAGCCAGGAACTCCTTTTGGGTCTCCCACATGGAGGCAGGAGTCCTGGCACTTGGGCCATCCTCCTCTGCCTTTCCAAATGCATTAGCAGGGAGAGCAGAGCAGCTGGGACTCAAATCGGCATTCTGATATTGGTGTGGCAAGTGGGGGTTTACCCTGTGTGGGATAGCCTGGCCGTGGAGGGCCTCCTCCCCAAGCTGGGCGGCCTCCTGCCACCTGTAGCCACAAGGCTGCTCCCTGCCCAGCCTGTTGACCTTCCTTGCCAGCCTGCACCTCTAGCCAGGAGAGCAGCTCCCCTCTCCTTCAGACTTCCTCAGAGCTGAGGAATTGGTGTGAACTCCCGAGGTCCCAGCTGGGCCCAGCCACCCTGAGCTCACGCCCTGCCTGCAGGCAAACCCTGCTGGTCAGCCCAGGTCTGCCCTGCCTAGCACCCCGCAGTCTCTGCGTTGGGGTAAGCAGGCCCTTGAGCTCAGGGGCTGTGGCAGGCTGGCTCGGTGTCAGGGAGCAGGTGAAGCGGGACTTGAAATGTCACAGTTCCTGGGGGTGCCTGGGATCATCCTGCCAGTGCCCCATCTCATCTGGAATCACAGCCCTCTTCTGCCACCCAAGAACTCGTGGTTTTCCGGGAAGTGTGGGGGCCTGTGCAGACTTACAGGTGATGGAGAATAGGGAGCACCCCCCACCACACACCGTCTTGCTCGTGGCCCTCCTCCTGGGAGGTCCTGAAAGGGGATAGCCTGGTCCTCAGCCTCTTCCAGGCAGCGAGTAGGGACCATGCCCCAGGGCCAGCTCCCAGGGCTGTTCGTGGCAGGTGGCACCGGGAGCAACCATGACATCAACTACTGGGGATGCACTCAGGCAGGACATTGTTGTCAGGAGCCACCTCGGGCTGGGCAGTGTCACACTTGCCCTTGCCAAACACATCCACACAGCAGCAAGAAGGGGGTGTTGTCACCTCAATCCTGGGTGGGCATAGCAAGTATGTGGGCCAGGCACGCGGGGACACCACCAGCATGGCACTGTTAAACCCCTGGGAGTAAGTGGAGGCCCTGAGGGTCCCCCCGACTCCGAGGGGATGCCCTCGAGGGAGCTTCACACTTCACACTTCACCTGGAGGGGAGAGGCAGAGTGGCTTCACGCTGATGGCAAAATCTGCATTGCTGCTGGTATGGGAAGCCCCTTGACTGGCCTCACAGTGGGAACGGCTCTGGCCTTGGGCACCTGCGTTCAAGGAGACAGAGCATGGAGCCCTAAGCATGTGGCAATTGAGGGGACTAAGGTGGCACCCAGCACCCACATGGTGGGCTACAGGATTGCCAGGGAACGGCTATGGTCTCCGTGGGCCCCTGCCCTTGGTGTGGGCTTGCAGGGCACACACAGTGCATTCATTGTGTCCCTGTCATTCACTGTGGTGCCAGTTGCCGAAGAGGGAACCAAAGGGGTGAGAAGCAGATGAGTCAGGAGCAGCTTCAGGAGATGGAGAGCCAGCTGTTCAGGGCAGACTGTCTGCTACTGGAGCTCTGATCCGCCTGCCTGGCTGCAGGGTTCAAGAACTGGCCGCTCTTGCACAGAACACCCTGGACCTTATCCCTGGAACGGCTCCTGCATCTACCTGGGCTGTGCAACTCCTGCCCCCTGGTGGTCAGGCACAGGCCAGTGACCTCAGAATTCCCCCAGGATGGGCATCAGAGGCCCAATGCCAATTTCTAAGACAGCTATTTACCAGGAGTGGGGCCAGAGGGGCTATGGGAGCAAGAGCAGGCAGGCAGGCCATCAGAGGACAAGGTGGTTACTCTGGTAGGGGGCAAGGGTGGGCAGTGGGGAAAGGGATAATCCTGTCAGGCTCAGCTGCCCTCATCAGGGGAAAGGATCCCCAAACCAGCCGCACCCACAACCCGAAGCCTACCACTGCCAGGCCCCCCGGGCATTCACTCACCCACCTTTGCAGCCCCAGAGCGCCTTCTTCACATCTTGGACCACTAGAAGGAGGGATGCCAGGCGGAGGGTCCCGCACTGCACAGTCAAAGAGGCAGAAAACAGGACCCAGAAGTGGATTTGGGAAGACACAGGAGCCCTAGAGTCCTCCAAGACCCAAAATGTATGGCAGGAGTGAGCAGCGTGGGGGCTTAGGCCCAGTGGATGGCTGTGGCTGGAGCTCAGCAGGGCCACCAAGGGGCTGCACACCACCAAGGGGTGTGGTCACCACAGGTCCTGTGGCCTGGTTTCTACTAGGGCAGAGAAAGGTCTGCTTTATCAACTCCACAGGAAACCTACAGCACGGCCAGCCTGCCCCACAGTTGATCTGGCTGACATCCTCTACCCCCATGGCTATTGTGGGGACAGACCTCACACTCGAGGTGTCTCCACAGGCCAATGGGATGGACCTCCTGATTTCCCCCAGGGTTGGGGTCTATAAGCTTGGCCCCACACCAACTCCCAGGTTGAGCTGGGGGCCATCTTTTAGGTCCCAGGCTGAGGGTGACAACTTGCTGTTTGTGTCCCGATTTTGCTGCGCCAGGCCCCAGGCTGGCAGGGGATCCTAGCGTGCTCCAGCTGCTACCCTCGTGGTGCTCATCTACAAGGGATCGGAAGTCCTTCCCCTGTAGGAAGTGACCTTGATTTACCCCAGCGAGAACATGCCTTCTTAGGAACTCAGGCTGCTGTGCCAGGGTTCTGGGCTGATCCACCTACAAGGCCTGCTGTACCACATGCCCACGCTAAAGGAGCTGACGATGGAGCAGCATCAGATGCCAGCACCTCGCTGCCTTTCACCTACAGGTGTCCAGCAACCCCCCGGCCCCTTTCTCAGCCCAGCAGTGCTGATAATTTAGAACCCTTGATGTTGTCATGTGCTGATGTGGCCTTACCGGGAGCCCGGTCCAGTCAGGCAGCTTGTAAGGATGTGCCTGGATCCCACCCCACACCTAGGCTCCTGGCGCATGACCCGCTGTGCAATCCAGGAATGGCCTTGGGACCATCAGTATGCATGGCTGGCCTTGCCAGGGTGGGGCCAGAGTTAGGCAGTGCCTGGAACATGCCACTGCCCAGCCTTCACCCTCAGGGTCCCAAGGGTGAGGTTTCCACGCCGCTCTCATCCCACGTCTCTCTGATGTCCAGGACCTCATCAGGGAATCCCAGATAAAAAGATGAGCATCCAGCTTTCTGGGACCGTCCCACAGCTTTGTGCAGTCAGAAACCACAGCTCCCACCCCGACTGCTGCCCTCTCCACCTGGAGGCCAACGCAGGAGTTGGCCTGGGGTCGGGGTGGGGTCCTGGCAGGGCTCAGAGCAGCAGCCAGGGTACAGGCAGTGGAGCACCACCAAGAGAGGCCACCGTACCCAGGTGGGGTCAAATCCATCCCATCTCCTGGGCTGGGAGCAGAGCCCACACGCCGAGGCACACATGACCCACAGGGGGTGGGGCACTGGTGGTATGTTTTCAGCCCCAATGCCCAAGCCCCCATCCCAACCGGGGAAGAATTATCCAACAGCAAGGGAACTCAGACCTGAGAAACCCCTCCTCCCAGACATGGATCTTTCTGGAAGCCGCTTTGGAAGGTAAGCAGGATCCAAAGCAGCAGGGAACAACCATCTGCACCCCGCCCCCAATCCTCTATTCTCCCCCCCCCAGGGGAACCAGGGGTACAGGCAAGAGCCCATGTGTCCTTGCACCCCCAAAGAACGAGACACAGCGCACTGGCCAACACCTTGGTGGTATAGTGTAGCTTGGTTTTATTTAAGTCCACAAATATTTCAAAAAAATTACAAAATACTCCAATGGAGAGGACACAGACGTCACGGTTTCTGGGTGTCTACTCTGCTCACACTGCCGTCTCAGGCCGACTACTCATATTTACATTTAGCTTCGAGAGAGAGAAACGGAGTCAGAGGGTCTGCTCTGCTCTGCGCCTACCGCAGTGCAACAGGAAGCGACCTCGACAACACTGAACGATACACACAGAACACAGAGACCCGAGGGCGGCTCCGAGGGGGCCTGCAGAGCTGGGCCTCCACTGGCTACACTGGGAAGGGCTCAGGGCGTGGGTTGGCGATAGAGCGTCTCAGTGCTTCCCCTGGGGGTGGAGAGAGAACTGAAGGGAACAAGAGAACACCTTGAGACAAGTTTCCAAGCTCAGACTTCAAGTCTTTCACTCTTTCTCTTTGGAAAAATGGGTGAGAGGGAGAGGAGAGAAGTTCCGCTGAATGGCAGCCACACTGTCCCAAGAAGGAAGCTACAGGGATGGAGGGGGCGGGCTGCAAGCAGCGGGTGCCCACCTGGAACCACGTGGCCGGCTCACTGAGCTCGTGCCCCTTACCCCCTAAGAACTAAGGTTAAGGCAGGAATGGAATGAGAGAAAAACCAGTGAAAAGAATTACTCGTATTTCCAACAGACACACAATCCTGTCTGTCCAAACTGAAACCAAAAACATATTCAACAGAAACGCGAAACGCCCCTAATGCAGTGAACCCCGACCCTGAACTTGAGCGCAGACCTCTGGGTCTGTGTCCAGCTCTTGGCCTCCTCTGCCTGCCCATGCCTGCACAGCCTGCCTCCCGCATGCACTTGGCGTCCACCGCCCCACAGGGTGGTCTCTGCCTGTCCAGCCACACACAGGCAGAAGCAACCTCGTCCTTGGCGCAAGCCTGGTCCCTGCCATGTCCCCACCCTCTGCCTGGGAGAAAGTGTGCCATATCCACCCAGGACAGCCATGCCAGGGGCCTGCCTCCCGCATGGTGGCACCCACTTCACATGCGTCACTGGGACTCCTAGAGCCACCTCTAGGATGGAGCGTGGGAGCCAGTAGCTTCCCAACCCAGGGTGACCACCATGCCTGGGCTACTCCAGCCTGTTCATGCCAGGGCCTCTCCTCTCATGGAAGATGCGAGCGGTGTCTGGCACCAAGGCGCACGGCCCTGGCAGATTCCTTTGGCAAGTGTGTGTCCTGGGCCTCTCGTGTGCTGAGTTATTTGCATGGAACCACTTTCTTGACTTTTCTAGAATGTATATGAAATTTCCAGAGTACTAAAAAAGGCAATTCATCCAGAACAATCCAATGTGTGTGCATAGAAATCTAGAAGGAAACCTACAGTCAGACACACAGACACGTGCTTTCCATCCTGCAGACAGAACAACAGGGACACCCAGGAACAGAACACCAACATTCAGCTCCTGTTCTCCTTGTGCAAAACCAAAGAGCTCCACCTGCCCAAGCACGGCCGCCGGGGGCAGCACACGCACCAGCCAAGCAAGGTGTCCAAAGGCCGCCCTGCCCCCGCAGCTGCCGCGATGGCGCCCAGGCCCAAGCTGCTGCCTGCCTGCCACCAGTGACGCCCTCCTGTCCCTTTAATGAAAGGGAGAATTATATAGAACTTTTTATTAAAAAATCAACTCTGTATTCTGTCAATAGCTGGTAGGAATTCACAAGTAGTGACATGGCTGGAAAAAATAGATCAGAATAGTAGTTTGTGGAAGGAAAAAAAGGCTGTTCTAAAATTATTTATTTACAGACATAAAAAGCCATGCTGCAGAACTTTTCAAATTATGAAGATTTCCTACAATGTATTAAAATAAAAGATTTTTTAAAAATTATAGCTCTTGGATCCCACACATATGCTGCCTGTCTGCCCGCCCCGTGGGCTCCGGCACACTCAGCGGAGGCGAGGACCGGACGCTAGCACCTACCAAGAACTCAGGAGAACACTAAAGCCAGAGCCCGGGGCGGCGGGAAGTGCGCTGCAGGCTCAGCCCCACCCAGGGCCGGCTCGGCTGCTGGGGGGCATGCAGGGGGCCCACACCGTTCCAGGGACTCCTCTCCACAAACGAACACCAGGATGCGACACGGTTGTAGTCGTGGGGTTTTAAATATATAAAGAAATCTAGAAGATACTCTCTTTGCTTTTGCAGCTCCTATTGTCTGTGAAAAGTCCTGGTATCTCCACAGCAGCACTAACAGCTGAGTAACTTACAACTGCTTGTCACCTTCTTTCTTCAGTCGGCTGGGAGGAAAGAACACAAGAGCGAGTGTGGCCACTGGGGCAAGGCCAGGCCTGCGGCAGCTGACAGGGCCAAGTCCCGGAGGGGCAAGCCCTGGCCCTCATCCCATGCCTCCCACTGGGCTGTCCCACCTGCCGCTCCACCTCCTTACCTGTAATAATCCTCCTGACTCGGGAGGTGGCCGCCGTGCATGTGGGGGTGTCCATGCAGCCATTGCTGCTCCATGGCCAGTCTCTGCAGCTCCGCGGACTGGGCATGCATGGCCTGCAGCTGGTGGGCTGCCGACATGGGGGGTGGGATGGCCCCAGGCAAGTCTCGGGGGTAGGGGGTGCCTGCCAATATAAGAGTTTCCATTAGAGCCGGTCGGAGCCCAGCACCAAGGATGGGACAGTGTACCCAGCAGCCGCCACCACTGGCCAGGCCAGGCCCCTCCCATGCCCCACCATGAGGGGCAACAGGCTGCTGGGCAGGGACTTGTCAGAGCATAGCCTATTGGGGAGAGAAGGGGCCTATGAATGCCCAGCACTCCCATGCCACCTCCTTAGGCTCTGCTGCAAGCAGAACCCGGCGCTTCCCCTGCTGTGCCATCGTCGCTGCCCTGCTCCAGGGAGGATGCCTTAGTCTTGTTCTGTGTCCGTGACCCACACACCCCCAGAGCCCTCTGAAAGTAGTCTATGGCCTCTTCCCACACGGATCCCCGTTCACCAAGACAGCCAACGCACACTATGGCACAGCCACCCCCAAGACCTCCAACCACACTGCAACTGGTGCCCACCTCTTTCCAGGCCCGTCCTTACCAAACACTGGGTGACGCAGCATCTCGTGCTCATGGGGAGGTTGTCCAAGCAGAGGGTTGGGGAGAGTGCCAGGCGGGTAGGGGAAGCGGGCCAAGTGAGGGCCAGCAGTCAGGGGGTCGACCAGTGGGTGAACTGGACCTGCTGATCCTATAAAATGACAAAGTCCAGATACAGAGCAGGGCATGGCTCTGGGGGTTCTTCCAGTGTCTGCCCTCTGTGGCAGAATCGCCAACAACTTCTTCCTCCCCTGAGCCGGGCCCTGGTCATTAGGGTGGGCACTACCACCTAGCTGTTCCGCCTTCAGGCAGAACCCCAAGTACTCTCTACCGGCCCTCCCTACCAAGAAGCTACCGTCAACAGAACCTCCTGGCTGCCAGCTTGGCTTGACTTGTACCTACTGGGTCCACAGGAACCCAATCTTGCCCAGCAGGCGTTTTACGTCCCAAAATGCTGGCTGGACTGGGCTCCGACTGCCTGGACTGCCTCCCTGGAGTGGCTAAGCAAGGCCAGCAGAGCAAGTGCAGGCCAAAGCAGGCCCAGTCTAACCCTACCAGGCACAGGCCCAGGGGCACACAATGAGGTGGTGCTGGGATGGTGCTTGCTGTCCTGTAAGCTGGCAGGGATCCAACAGCACTGGTGTCTCCAGGAGCCTGCTCAGGGTTCCATGCAATCGGGCTCTCCCTTGGTGTCTGCTTCCCATCTGATGGCTCCTCCAGGGCCTCCTGCCAGTCAGTTTTCCGACAGCAACAGAGAAACTCGACCTCCACGCAGCCCTCCCCCTGCCCCAGACTTATCTGCTTGGAAAACACACACCACTTGCCCACCACCTGTCTGCTTGTGAGCACAGCCTGGCCTCGCTTGGAGCCCATACTGGACTGTACGGACCAGCCATCCTGCAGCTGGCCAGCTGACTGGGAAGACAGAACGGTGCAGCCTGGCTCTCACAGGACATTCTCACCAGGGGCTACCTGGACCTTTGGGGCTCCAAGGCCCCAAGGTCCTGTCCCCTCACCTGCTTCTCCCTACCCCAAGCAAAGGACCAAGAGCCTAACGTGTGAGTGGGAGGCTGGTGCTGTGGAGCCTAGACGCTGAGCCATCACCAAGGCCGGCTGGGAGGCGGGTGCTGCGGTCCACCAGGACCTGCAGAGTCAGCCACAGAGAGATTACAGCTACGAACAGTTGGGTTGTCCTACAAAGGCCCAGGGGTTGGGCTCGGTCTCCAAAGTCCTGAGCTGATGACTAATGGGAGGTAAGGGCAGATCTGATCACTATGGCACCGGGAATGAAGTTCAGAGGGAAGTTGGTTTCTTGAGTTAGATGGGCCTGGCTTCTCATGCTGCTGCCTCGCAGGGTACTGATCCTGCCTCCCCAGGTGAGGGTACCAATGGACCCACTCCACCCTGGGGTGAACCTCTAACACCAGGAGCCACGCCAGGCCTCCTTCCCACCAAGCAGTTTCTGGCACAATGACAAGCAGCTTATTCCGGACCCGTGCCCCTCCTCACTCCTGCCATCCCCTCTGCACCCAGGCCAGGACACCCACCTTGGTGGAGAGGGTCCTGCTGGTGAAGGTGGAGGTGAGAGTGGATGTGTGAGTGCTGGTGATGGTGTGGGGTCACATTGAACATCTGCAGTCGGGCCAGGGGGTCGCTGGTCAGAGACGCCATGCGCTCAGCGTGGATGCGCTCGGCCGCGAGTCTGTCGGGGTAGCTCATCTCGGGTCGCAGCTGGGGGCCCGCCAAGGCCAGTCTCTCACGTTCCAAAGGGTTCAGACCCGGGTGGAAAGATGCAAATGGGTGTGGGCCAGCTGCAGGGGGGATGGTGAGGGCACTGTGCCGGGCGAAGTGCTCCATGGGGTTGGTGGCCGGGTGCAGGGGGTCCAGCTCCGGGGGCTTCACCTCGAAGCCTGGCTTCATCCTCTCCCGCAGCTCCCGCTCGCGAATCTCTCGCTCGCGGATCTCCCGCTCCCGCAGCTCCCGTTCACGGATCGTGGGGTCCACGTTGTAGAGGCCAGGCATGTGGTAAGCCAGCAGGGGATCAGTGGGGTTGAGGGGCATGTAGAAGGGGTGGTTGCGGTTGGTGGGCGACATGACATGGGGTCGAGCATACTCGCTCAGGGTCCGGAGGGCAGGCGTGTCAGGCCCAATGTAGGGGGGCACAGCAGCAATGGTCGTTGGCGGTGGCTCGAAGGATGGCCGCATGTGGCCCGGCCCCGTGAGCTGCGGCTCACTAAGACGACCTTCGTGTGCTGAGCTGGACGCCTTCTGCTGAAGGAAAGGAGGGTGTGAGAGGTGGCTGCACACCGTGTGGGCTCCCGGCCTGGAGTACATCACGGAAGTCGGCCCTGCCTCCTGGTCCTGTGCTCATAACACACAGAGAACCCCTGCTGCTCCTCCCCGGTCCCCTGGCAGTGACGCCAGTGACAGGTCTCTGAGGCACAGGCAGGTGGGCACAGGTCACTACAGTGCATCACTGGCACCTGCTGAGTGCCTGGGGAGCCAATTCAGAGACATGCAACTCAATTCGTGCCCAAGGCCTGGGACGGCACAGCCTGCAGCTGGCCCCTGCTCCCGAGAGCAGGCTGGAGCCAGCACCCTCCCGCACGCGTGGACACCTCAACTCACAGCTGCACGCTCGGCCTCTCTCTCCCGCTCCCGCTCGCGTTCCTTCTCCTTTTCTTTCTCCCGCTCGCGCTCCTCCCGGGCCTTCTGCTCAGCCTCCCGCTTGGCCTTCTCAATGGCCTCCTCCCTCTTCTTGGCCAGTTTGGAGCCGGCCAAGGGCATGAAGTACAGGTCCGTCCGTGCACAGGAGTTGTAGCCCCGGTCCAGGTGCTTGTAGAACCTAGGAAAGGCCGTGTCTCTTGCTCCAGGCCCCGCCTCCTCTCCAAAGCCCCTGCCCCGCCTCTCCTGCACACACATGCCTGGTTTCCCGAAACCCAATACCTGGCAGACTGGCTGGCGTGGCTGGGGGTGTCCACCACCGTGGGCTCGGGGGATGGGCTCCTCGGAGGGGGCGGGGGGCTCTCGGGCTCCTCAGCATCATCGCGAATCTCCTCCTTGATCTGCACAGTGGGGAGCGGGCAGGAGGCCCCCCCTGGAATGCCACCTCCCGAAGAGACAGCAGCAGAGCAAGGCGGCTGGGCTGAGGTGCTGGGCCCCGCAGGTGGGGTGGAGGTGGAGGGGCAGGTGGGAGGGGTGATGGAGGATGGGCCTCCAGGGACAAAGGAGTGCTGAGCAAATGGGGGCTGGGGGGGCACCTGGTGGAGGCTGGCTGGGGGGTGGGAGGCAGCAGCAGGAGTCAGGTTCTGGCTCTGGGTCAGCCCAGGGGGCTGGGCAGGAGAGGAGGGCAAAGGCTGGCTCTGGGGCATGAGCTGCAGTGGAGGGGGGTGAGCTGACGGTGGGTGGTGTGTGGACAGGGAGCTTAGGGGCTTCAGGGCCGGCGGGGGTGGCAGGTTGGCGTTCATGGAGAAGGGTGATGGCCCCGAGAGGTGAGGAGGGTGCTTATGGGCCTGAGGTGCTGGCAGCTGGGGGATGGGCGTGGTGGGAGGGGGCTTGATATGTGGCATGGCCAATGGTGCTGGTGGTAAGGGCTGCTCCCTCGGGGGCTGCTGAGCCTGCAATGTTGCCTGGGTGGCTGGGAGCTGCAAGGTGCTGTGAGGGTGTGTGGTGGCTGGGGAGGCGCCCAGGGCAGCCTGGCCTTGGGAGGTCTGAGGAGGAAGGCCAAAAGGCTGGGGGGGCCCTGGGTGCTGCAGCAGCGGACCGGCCTGTAGGCCATGTGGGCCCTGGCCATGCAGGGCAGGCTGGCTGTGAGTGGGAGTGGGTGCCTGGCCAGCTGGAGGGTGTGGCGAGGGCAGCCGTGGAGGGTGCAGGGCAGGAGCCTGCTGGATGTGCGAGTGTGCAGCAGGTGCTACCGGGGCTGGAGGCTGGCTAGGAGGCGGCACAGCTGCAGGGGAGCCCTGCGCAGGGGGTGCAGCGGCAGAGGCTGTAGAGCCCGGGGTAGGGAGCTGGGATGCTCCGGCCTGTGCTGCTGAGGGGGTGGCAGGAGCCCCCCCGGGGGCCTGCAGGGCTGGGGGCTGGGCCTGCAGCAGTTGCTGCTGAGCAGATGAGTCTGAGTCACTCTCATTGTCCTGGGGACTGGGGATGCTGGGGGACGTGCTGCGATTGTCCTGGTCAATGTCTTTGGGGTCACTGCTTCCCTCATCGTTGACACTGCGGCTGTCTGAACTCTCGCCTTCACCTTCCGATGGGGAGTTGGGCCGGCTGATCTCCTAGAGCCAGAGAAGGGACGATGGAAGCCTGGGAGCCAGGCCTCTGCCCTGCGCTGCCAGGGATAGCATACAGAGACCTCTGCCATCAGGCAACAGCCACCTTGGCCCAGGGGCTGAGGGCCCTTCCTGCTCGCTCCCCTGCCCCACCTTCCCCGCTCCCAAGAGACAGCGCTCAGCCTAGCCAAAGCTCCTCAGGCAGCCCCGGGGGCAAGCAGTAACGCACACCTGGGTTTTGGTCTTCTTGGAGCTGGTCCTGTCTGACTCCTCTGTGTCGGAGGCCACCTTCTCACGCTGTCGCTTGGTGCTCTTTAGCGGGGATGAGGCTTCCTCCTTCACCTTCTGCAGTGGGAACCACGAGGAGCAGTGAGGCCATGGAGGGAGCTAGCAACGGCAGACACTCTCCACAACAGTTCCCTCACCAGAAGCAGAGAGGGGAGGTGGGCCAGAAGGGCACAGGCATCAGGGCCTGTGGGAGGGCATCTGCCTGAAGTCCAGGGAAGCTTGTGGCAGAGCACATCCTTAGAGGACCCCTCTCTCCAGGCCTCAGGCCTGCACCTACAGCCGTCGGCCCTCCGCAACGAGCTGCAGCCTGTGTTGGAGGCGCTGAACAGCAGCTCCAGAAACAGCTTTCTAATGTGAGGGATGCCAAGGGCAGCCCTGTCCATTCCCAGCCCCTGACCTTGGCCGACTTCTTCACGGTCTCCGCTTTGCTGTCGTTGCTGGAGGTGCTGGCGGCGCTGGGGGAATTGCGGCCACTGGAGCGGATGTCTTCATTGATGGGCGAGGTGCGACCGTCAGGGCTGGCTGGCTGCTTCTTGCGACCACTGCGTAGTGTAGACATCTGCCCATCCAGATTGGGGACTGGTGAGGACCCAGCACCATGTGGCCCCCACCAGTCTTGAGGCCAATCTCAGTCTGGCAAAAACAGGCAACCCTCCCTTTGCCCTTGAGGCATGGAAGCTAAGGGTGCAGCTAAGGACAGGAGGGGGGAAGGTGACAGAGAAGGAAGAGCCATTCCTGGGACCAGAGCCCTGGAAGTGCAGAGCCATGTGGGCTCAGAGACTGGGGGCCACGGTTAAGGTTGTTACATCAGAGCCCTTCAAAGTGAGAAGCCAGACAGGCTGCATGCAGCCCTGAGACAACATGAGGGGCAGCAGAGGATGGACAACCCCAGCCACCTGCCCAAAGGCCCCAACAACAACCTCAGCTGCCCAAGTCCCGGCCGCAGACCCAGGCAGCCAAACCAGCCCTTGAGGGAGGAGGCTGCACGGCTGAAGAACGGCAAGCAGTTTCCAAAACCAGATCAAATATTTAAAAACAAAACAAAAGGAGCCTGCCAAGTGCACAGCAGCCGCAGACAGGACAGAGTGGAGGGGACGTGAGGAGATGGGAGCATGCATCTACCCCAGGATGGCCCCCAGCCGGCCCGCCTAGACAGAAGAGCAGCGGGCACGAGCCAGGCAGCAGCCAGGCCCCAGTAGGTGGCCTCACCGAGCCCCGACTCCGCCGCGTCCTCATGCTATGCTTCCCGCTGAGCCCATCCTCCTCCTCCTTGACGGGCTTGAACATGAAGGGCGGCGGATCCACGGGCTTCTCGACGGGCGGGAGCTCGCCGTACTTCTTGAAGTGGATGCGGCAGTCGGTGCACAGCAGGACGTTCTCCCGGCCCCCGTGGTGCCAATCTTTGGAGGCTTCATGAGGAAAGAGCGGTGAGGGTGCCAGCCGAGAAAACCATTCTCTCCCTGAGGAGGTCTGGACCGAGGCCCCCGTGTGGGGCCCTGCCAGGAGAGGGCTGCAGGAACATGCCCTGCCCCTCACCACAGCCCCCTGAACTTGAGCGAGTCTGTCCCACCCCTCATCAGTAAGAACTCCACCCTGAGGTGTAAATGGGGCAATGAAGTTAATAAAAGATTCCTAGAGCCACTGTTTTGGCGCAGTGGGCTGAGCTGCCACTTGAGATGCTGGCACCCTCCAGTTTAAGTCTAGGCTGCTCCACTTGCAGTGTAGTCCCCAGCTCATGTGCCCGGGTCCCTGCTCCCATGAAGAGACATCAGATGGAGTTCTAGGCTCCTGACTTCAGTCTGCTGCAGGACCCAATTGTTGCTGCCATTTGGAGAAAAAAAACAGTGGATCAAAGACCTAGCTGTCTCTCCTTCTCTAACTATGCTTTTTAAATAAATGAATCTTGAAAACGAAACCAAAAAGTATTCTCAAACCCAGACACGATGATGCGGACAGATGTCCAATCAATGACAGCTCTAGGCAGCCACATGCGAGGTCAGGGCCGCAGTACTTACTGGTGGTGAAGCAGTGGCGGCAGGCGTAACCCTTCAGCTCCTGCTCGCTGTCCTCACTGTCAAAGTCATCCTCGCTGGCAGAACTCAGGTCCACTGGGCACACAGGCGAGGGGAGAATATGCCATTAGGTTGGCCCAAGAACAGAACCCACAACCTGGTGGCCAATGGCTCTGTCTCACCAGTCTGTGTTGGACAGTACTCATGAAAGCTGGTTGGCATGAGGAGCGGGTGCTAATGCTGTTCCTGTACACCCCGGGGCACAGGCCCTGATGCCCATACAGGAGAATCTGAACAGGAACAGGGCATCATGGGAGCCTTGCCTGGGCCTCCTGATACCCTGGTGATCCTTTCAGGTTGTCAGCACGGGCAGCCCGCTGGGAGTAGGGCCACGAGGCTGTGGGCTCCACAGTGCACAAGGTGGGCTCAGAGAAGAGCAGGAGAATAAGTGTTAAGCTGACCTCACTGTCCTGTCCAGGCACAGCACACGCGAGTCCCCGTGGCAGACTCCAGCATGCAGAAAACTGCCACAGGCCAAGGCCAAGACTCACAGACTTCAAAAGAAGTGAGTTTTCTTAGAAACACTGAAATGTATAAATAACCTTTAATACTGTCCCTACTAAATCTCGACTCCTCAGCTCTGGGCTACATTTCTGCATGTACACACACACACACACACACACACACACACACACACACACACACACACACAGAGCTTACAGACAAGGATGCTTTAGGCTGTCAGTAGGTGCTGAATGTAGAGTCCCCCCCACTTGCTGCGATGCAAAGACCCCTACTTACAAAATTCACTGGAGGGAGGCCTGGAGGGCGTGCTGACAGGAGTGGATGCAGTGCGGGTCTTTATGCGCCTGAACACGGCCTGCCTCCGGTGACGACGGTGGGCGCGCGAGCTGGCCGCTTCGGGCGTTTTCTTCCAGTAGTAATAGAAGGTGATCAGCTCCCCCTGTCAACGAGAAGGGCTGGCTGTGAGGGTGGGGTGAGGAAGAGTGTGGCGCTTGCAGGTCCTCCACAGCGCCTGCCACTCCTGGAGACGAGGATGAGGGCTGTCCTTGGAGCTGTGAGGGGACCAAGCTCACTGAAGGAACACAGCCACGGAGCTGGCCACGGGGGGACCCCAACAGAGCCTGTCGTTCAGCCCTGCAGCACACGGCACCCAGATTCCCACAAGTCCCACTCAAGGGTGGCCACCACGGGCCAGACACTGTCAGGGCTGTACACACAGAGGACGCTTTGCGGTCCCTCAGGAGCGTGGCGGGGGGTGGGTCTGAGCGTTAACAGGCGTGGGCACATGCAGGCTGCCTAATTCACAGCATTCCAAGGCCATCAGACACACATGAGAAGAAATGCCTGGCCAGTTAAGACTACCCCAGAAACGACCCATCAATCAAACCGAACTGCCATGGTGCCAGGGAACTGGGCCCAGCGGAAGGTCAGGAAGAACAGCCCTCACACCCAAGCAAATTACTGCTCCACTCTCCACAGGCCTCAAGCTAAATGCCCACACCTGGACGAGATGGCACAAGTCCTGAAGGCCAGGACTGGGCTGCACAAAGACCACTGAGAGGAGGTGGACGCACAGCAGTGCTGATGCAAAGAGGAAACCTCACGTGCCCTGAGCTCAGCCTTTATGGCTCCAATGACTATTTCTTCCATGGCCTGGCAGAAAGGGAATGAAAAAAGTACAGCAAATTCAACTTGACAGAGAGCTGCATACAAATAGCATGGCCCACAAACCCTGGCCTACATAAGCAGTGTCTCCACCTGGATTTCAAATAGAGCACCACTGAAGTCCAAGAGCCTGGACCACACTTCTCTCAGCAGACCCCAACGCCTGGGCAGTCACTATTGCCTCACCCCACGGGCACGGTCTGGGATGAGCGCCTAGCTACAGACTGACAGCGACAAGCTGAAGGCAGAGGTGGACACCAAGCAACCAGTTCCTCTGATGGACTCAGCACCCAAGCAGCATGGGTTTCACCCGAAACATCTCCAGGGTCAAGGTCACTGCACGCCATGGGATGGGGCGGATGAGGCCACACAGAGTCCTCCCTCCCCAGGGGAGGCAGTGAAGCAGGGCAGCCTCTGACTGCCTGGAGCCTCTTCAGCTGTGCTCCACCCCACGCCTGCCGCACAGCATCAAATGAGCACCATCTTGGCCACGGAGCCGCCACGGCGAGCACGCCTGTCGATACTCACTGGCCTCTCCGCCCTCAGCTCCACACAGGCTAACTGAAGAAAGGCAAACACAGCAATGTTCTTGGCAATTGCGGCTACTTCATCATACGGTTAGAGTTGCTGGCCACACTTCTGTCAGCGTGGCCCCTGGCTCCTGTCACTCCTTCCTCGAAGACCTGCTCATCTAAGTGGCTCCTTGAGTACTGCCTGGAGGGAAGAGAGTCATGAAGCTGTTGGAAGGCTAAGGGATCTCTGCTGACTCAAAGACATGAGAACATCTGAGACAGAAGTCAAACTTGGCCATGGTCACCTTCAGATACTCCACCACCACGACAGCCCAATTCCAACACTTGGAAAAATGAGAAAAACCCAAAGTCGGTCCTTTCCCCTAGTTCTAAATCAATATACAGGTCCATAAGCAAAGCAAATCTGAGACACTGGAGGCAATGTGAAGCTGGAGGAGAAGGAAGGGACCAAAACCAGGAGGGAGGGCCCCGTGTGGTAGCCTAGTGGTTAAAGTCCTTGCCTTGCATGTGCCTGGATTCCATACGGATATGGTTCATATTCTAGCTGCTCCAGTTCTGTTCTAGCTCTCTGCTGGTGACCTAGGAAGGCAGTAGAGGGACAGCCCAAAGCTTTGACACCTTGCATCCGCATGGGAGACCTGGAAAAAACTCCTGGTTCCGGATCAGCTCAGCTCTAGCTGTTGCGGCCACTTGGGGAGTGAACAAGTGGATGGAAGATCTTTATTTCTCCTTCTCTCTGAAAATCTGACTTTCCAATAAAATAAATATAAACATATCAAAACATAAATATATCCTTAAGAAAAAGAGAGAATAACAAACAAAAACCAACCAACCAGGAGGGAGCTGCGGGGAGGGGCTTTCTGCTAGCCAGTCTTACTCAAGCACCACACTGCCTCACTTGGCTACAGATATGACTGTCTCCGAACTGGCAGGCTGGAGAAGCAGCCAGAGTTCAGTGAGGCTGAGCAAACGAGGTCGGACCAGGCAGAAGAAAGGCTCTGCCCACCCAGGAATCAGGACATGCAGGAGGAAGACTACCATGGAAATTAACACCAACTTGCAGCCAACAGGGAAGGTACAGCTTTCAAACAAGGAGGCAGAGTCCAGGAGCACTTCCGTCTGCATGCCAGGATCAACAGGTCTGGCATCACAGTGGAGAAGAAAATGAAAAATGCACAAGGTGTAAGAGTGGCTGGAACTGCTGCTGGGAGGGCAAACTGGTCCAACCCCATGGTAAATGCTGCAGCCACTCTTGAAGTTAGCCAGCCATCTATCAGACGGCCCAGCAGTTCTGCTCCTAGGTGCTTACCCAAAGGGAAGAGAAACATGCTCACACAGAGGTTGCTACGCAGCACAGTGGTCAAATTGCCACCTCAGACTCCCAATTCCCACATCCCAGAGCCAACATTTTCACACCAATATTCACTGATACCTTTTACTTCCTCATTTTCTTGGCAAGGGACAGGAGAAGAGGAAAGGTGGACGAGGGAAGAGAGAGATCTCTCCCCCAAATCCTGCGGCAGCCAGGTCTGGGAAGCTGAGGGTGGAGCCCAGGATCCCAGCCAGGGCCCTGACATGGGAGGCAGGGATCCCCAATGGAGGGCTTGAATCAAGCACTGAGATCAGTGTACCTGCCCATGGGCTGATTCTTCATGGCCCAACTCATACGCCTGTCAGCACAATAGGCAAGTGAACTGCCTGAAATACTACTTAGCAATCAAAAGAACTACTGCTACTCAAAGACACAGAGGGCATACATGTTTGGTGGCACTTCAGAAAGGATAATCTTCAGCCACAGTAAGCAGATCAGTGGTTGCCAAGAACCTGGAGGTCAGGGTAGAAAAGGAGACTGCAGTGTTTTGGGGTGATAAAATAGTTAATAAATAAATGTCTACACAAAGTTATCAAAATCCAGCAAAATATGCAATTAAAAGTAGATGGTAGGGCCAGTGTGGCACAGTGGGTTAAATCATTACTAGCAACACTGGCATCCCATCAAGGCATGAATTTAAGCATTGGTTGCTGCACTTTCCAGCCAGCTCTCTGCTGCTGTGCCTGGGAAAGCAGAGAAGGATGGTTCAAGTCCTTGGGCTCTGTACCCACTTGGGGAACCCAGATGGAGTTTCAGACTCCTAGCTTCAGCTGGCCCAGCTCTGGCTGCTGTAGCCATTTGGAAACTGAAGCAGTGGATGGAAGAATTTCTGTGTCTTGCCTCCTCTCTGCCTTTCAAATGAATAAATCTTTTGAAAAACTGGCTGTTTTTTCATATGTACCAGATAGGCTTTATAAGCCAATTATATGCCAAAGATGTTTTTTAAAAAATCACAACAAATCCACCCCAGGTTTTATCCATTACCTCTCAGTCCCTCAACACCCAGGAAGAAACCAGGTACTGGAATGGAGCTCACCCACGGTGGCCAGGCAGCACATGACTGACCGCACAGGTGGCGGGGCCCTGGGCACAAAAAGAACATGGCAGGAAGCTTTGCTTCTACAAACAGGGAGTGAAGCAGCTCTCAGCCTCGTCAGAAATGGAGTTAATCAAACATGCAGGGCCTGTGGCGCAGAGGCCCGTGCACATAAATCCAGGGGACAAAAGCCGCTGCGGAACCAACAGCTCACTGAAACATTAACAGAGGCAATCACTGATCAAAAGGCAGCCTTGCAAATGAGCTCCCGCTGCACGTGCAAGCAAACACCAAGGCATAAATGTTTCCAACACCAAAGGCCTATAATGATCATTTTGTTCCCGATGCTCTCACCTCATCTCACAACAAGGTCTCCCACATCTGCCATCTCAGCACTGTCACTGCACACAGCATGGTGAACTGCACTGCTGCAGCGTCTGAGCAAGGCAAGTGGAGGAACCGGGAGGCGCCTGCAGCACGGGGCTGCGCCCTTGCCCCTCTGCTCTGCTCTGCTCTCAGCACATTCGCCCCTTTCCTTTTTCCTGCTGGGGATGGATCTTCCCACAGGGCATCTGCACGAAGCTTGGACAGTCTCAGAGCTCTGTTCCTAGATGCAGAGTCTCCACCCAAATAGGTTTATTTCAGGCTATACATTCAGTGGAGGTTAGAAAAATAGCCACCACTAGGCTACCGTGTGTGTGTGTGTGTGTGTGTGTGTGAGAGAGAGAGAAAGAAAGAGAGAGAGAGAGGGAGTGGGAGAGAGAAATGGGGCTGGGAGGGAGATCTCAAGGGGAAAAGGAGGTGGCTCCTGGAATCCAGAGGCCAGTGGCCTGGGGCTGCTTCCCCCTCCTCCTCAGGGCAGTGACTGTAGCTCCCCTGAGGTAGGCAGTCTCACCAACACAGATGCCATGGCCGCCTTCTAAGAGCACCTCCTGACCTGAAGAGAGGGGAGCAGCCTCTACACGACCCCACTGGCATGGCTGGGCCCAGCCCTGCTTGACCCTGGGTAAAGGACGGGCTGACAAACCACTCCAGGAGGGGAGGGACAGGCGACATAATGTACTGTGTCAACAGCAGGTGGGGCTGCAGGTGGGAGCTGACAGCCCTGCTGCAGAAGCAGGTCTGACCAAGCCTCCTGGTCAGCTAACCTGCAGGCACTCCGCACAAACACCTGGACACAGCCACCACTGCCTCTCCCTCAGAGAGGTGTGACAATGCTAAGGGGAGAATTGTAGCTCGTACTGCCCAACTTGAGAACAACCGTTTTAGGAGGCAAGGTCTCTAGGGCAACCCAGGGCATGAATGGCGGGAGGCAGGCACTGCAAGGCTCTCTG